AGGACTTGCCTACAATATGGTGGGCAAACGCTGGAGTACTGAACAAATAACGGGATTTCCGCGTGAGAAAAGTCTTGGAGCCAGATAACGTAGCCAAGAACGAGGTGGTAAACAGCTGTCCTGGGACCAACAGAGGCACGTTTTGGCGGGCTTCCCTCCGGGGCCGCAGCATTCTTCCAACTGGTTGACACATCTGGGTTTCTTGCTGACTGCACCCATGAGTGGGCTGAGCGAAAATTCGGAGTTTAATGAAATTTTAAATATAATTTTACGGCACTTTTAATTTCTCATAAAGCAGCAGTTAAAAGACTTTAGAGATTATGGAACTGCTTATTTTATGATCTAAGTACTGTAAAAACAATCTGCTTTAACCACCGCTGGAATCAGTTACATAGACGTAGAAAGCTTTTGTAAGAGCAGCCTCCTTTCTTTTTTCTGTCGTAATCTCCAAATTTGGGTCGTTACATTCGATACTCCGAGGTACATGAGACATGGAAAAAAAAATACCAGAAACAGGAGGTCCTAAAAAGAGCAGAGCACGGACCTAGGTTAAAAGGCACGTACCAATTTAAAAAAGCATATTAAGCATACTGTTAAATCTGGGGTTATAGAAGCGTTCTGGACACGGCACACTACCCCATTTTAAAAAGCAAATGCCTATTCTTAAAAAAGTACCACCCCCTCTATTTACAGGTTCACAGAAATATTTGTATTACTTTCTTTTTCCTTCAGCTTTTTTTTTTTTTTCCTCCTTTTAAGTCAGTTCAATGGGCTGCAGCCAGAACTCGCTCCTAAATTGAGACGTAATTAGAAGTGTCCTACTGTGCCTTTCTGGACAATTCATTTAACCTTCCACGCCTTATTTCACTTTAGGCTTAAATAAGACTTCAGACGTGCCGTCCTTACATACATATTGCTCGTAAAGTTGTGCCAAAATGACTTGCAAACCCCTCAAAATATTAACACGCATCTCGGGAAACGGCTTTTCGCGGGAAAAAGAGCCCGTTGGCCTCTGTGTGCAGGAAGGGCTCTGCACCCATCCTGCCGGGCGTTGTGCTGGTGGCAGAAGTCTCCGGCAACGTGGTTCCTGTCGCTTCCGGGGCGGGGGGAAGGATAATTCTGCAGGAAAACCGCGCTCACTTTTCACAGGTTTCTCTCATCATAGCCAGCCTAATGGGATCTTTACAATCTTGCAGCTCAATTCCTCCTTGCCTCTTTCACACCAGCAACGCTGCTGACGTACACGGGACTATTCATATGACCGCGGCCTGCAAGATTTGGCTTTTAATGTTTGTTTAATTTACTACTTCTCCTCAGAGAGCTTTCTTTGTAAAGGTTATAAAATGAATAAACTGTGTATTCAGTGCTTTGAACATGCAAACCACGATCCAAAAAACGCTAAGCGCATTGCTATGGAGGGCAGAGCTCTCGTGCAGGTGGAGGATGTCCCAGCAAGTGGCTCCTCAGCACCACCCGGGCTTGCACGACTCTGCGTCCAACCTCAGGCTGCCTCTTGCTTTTGCAGCCAGGATTGACACGGGTTGGACCACTCGACGTTGGACCACTGAGAACAGACGGTGAGTCCGGTTGCGTTAAACCTTGTGTGGTGTTAACGGTGATGGGATACCAAACTCTTTGTAAATCAAAAACTACTCTAGGAATCCATGGATCTGCAGAATTAACTTACCAGTGTCTTGTTTTAATCCTAAATCATCATCTTTTCCACCTCTGCAGCTGTTGTCACCTACTGTGTATATAAACACACTTTCTTACAAGGTGTATTACACCCATTCTGATCTAGAGTGAACAAACCTACAAACGCACTGTATCATCTTCAAACCACAGTTAGTACATGACTGTAACTTCTTTCATTAATTATTCTCTTCACCCACTTAACTAGCTTATACTTTTTGGCATTCACAAGACATTCAAATAAAAGCCTAATAAACTCAGCGACTGAAACACTGAGGCCCTGTTTCCATCTGACAGAATTCACTGGAAGTGCTACAAAGAGCTTTGAAATCTTATTTAAATACAGGTAATAAATAATAAAATAATAATAAATAAATGGTAAGCGCTTGCTAAAGCTGCAAAACTAGGTAAGGTTTGCAGTGTGGGGAGATGGGAGAGGGTTGAGGTAGAGTCAGGCACAAGTCAAATATACAACTGGTATAACCGAGACGCTGAAACTTTCTGCACTTCCAGGTAATAAAAAGAAAATCCTTGCAAACCGAAATGTATTTTCTGAATATACCAGTCCAGCCTCCAGACTGGCTTTTTTCGGTTGTTCGATGTTGTTGTTTTAAGGGACGCATTAAAATCACGACGCATTGCTTCTTGAGACGTGACCTAAAATTATTCACGGTGCCAGCAAGCCCAGCAGACGGACAAGCAGGGAAGAGGGAGC